AAGCGCTGCAATCTCCATCGTCGCACGCTCATCTGAGCTCATTGGTGGAGAGAAGTTTCTATACGATCCTCCACCTGCGGGCATGAATGGTCGTGGGTGAGGATGTGTTGGGCTGACGGAGCGATTTTGAGCCATTTGTGGTGGTTGGGCGAGGATGGTTGTTGTGATTGAGGGTACGCGAGGGACTGTGACTTCACGAGCGAGGGCGCTGTATCGAAGGATTTGAGATGTGGCGTTGAAGTCACCGCGAGGGTCGGCGGTGACGATCATGACGCCTCTTTGGGGGTTGCGACGAGGAGCTTGGGAGTGAGAGGTTGAAGATGAGGGGAATGAGTTTGAGAAGAGGAGCTCGGTGAGTTTGCATTGTCTAAAAGGAACAATATTGGGCTACACATGTTAGTCGATATCCATCAAAGATCACTTCGTTGACTTACCTTGCTTGAGCTAGCAGCCTCACTCTGCGTCTGCAGACATTGGCCTAGGTACATCAAACTCTCGTTGATCTTACCAGCCTCTGCAAGAGTGGCACCCGCCGTCTTAGCTTCGCGCGCACGCTCACTGCCCGCCAGATCAACAATGGTAAACTTGTTCCCTTCCCAAGGGCCAGGTCTTCTGCTGCGGGTTCGCTTCTTGACTTCAAAGACAAAGAATCCATGGCTTCGACTTGAAACGCTGTTGCTTCCGGTACCGGTGACTCGGCGCTCTTGCAGACCGGTCTCAAGAACGGTCAATGCTTCGTTGTAACTAGAACAGATGACCTTTCGAAGACCAGCGACAACTTTTCGGTCTGGTGATAGCTCTGTTGACTTGAAGAGTAAAGGACGTCGTCGTACTTCTTTTGTGGCACCGGATTTGACAGCGGGAGTGAGGAGGTCGTAGATTCGATCGTTGTGTACTTCGTACATTGAGATGATGACAACATATTCGGCCGAGGGATCGCAGGAAATGTCGATGTTGCTCACGTCGGGGAGCTGTGGAAGAGCCGAGGGGCGTACGGTAATTCGTCGAGGTGGTGGGGACATAACACCATCGGGCTTAACATCATCTTTAGTAACATTCTTTACACGAGTTGAAGTAGTAAGAGACATGAAATGTCGAAGACCCCGCTTGGGCGTCTTGGGACAGTTCAGCGCGCTTGGAAACGCGGGCAGACTTTCGAGAGGTCTTCTACCACGCTCAGAAGAACGATCCTATCGCTCCTTGAGACGTCGAGTTTCCTCTGCCTCGCTAACAAGCCGTACACTTTTCGGACTTGGTGCGCTGTCTGACGGGAACGCGCCTGGGAGGTTGGCGACCAGCTTGGAGGCAGGAATATTGAGATAGGAAGGCTTTGGGGTCTGTCGTACAGGCATTGGTGTACCAGCGCGTGAAGGCGCTCGCGAAGCAACAGAGTCGCGAAACGGAGGGTCGAAGAAGTGGGACGCGGTTGTAAGGGAGGACTCGGCACCGTCGATGGCTTGAAGGGAGTCTTGAGCTGTGAAGGCGGCGTTGGGATCGAGGATGTTTTCGCCGATTGAGCGGAAGAGGACGTCCATCGTGAGTTGGGTCAGGCCGCGCTGTGTCTTGCTTCCGAGGATCGTATGTGTCTTCGTCTATTAGTCTTGGTGTTTCATTGTTGACATGGTACTCACCTTGCCGGAACCTGTCACTCCCAGAGTAGCGACGACAGCATCTGTGCCCTCGCCACCCTCAGGCGCCAGTACGCCTTCGACGAAGGGAACGATCTCTGTGCAGTGAAAGACATCGAGCTGCGTTGCATCTTCCACAAAAACCTGGGTGAACGCGAACTTCTCAATAGCCCTACGCCGATCTGTAGGCGGATTCAGAACAATATGCTTAGGATGTGAACCATCCTCAGCGGGCTCAACATCGAGAATGCGATCGCCATCACCATGTCGCGTAGGCGGGGGCCGTAGCCGTAGATAGACCTCAAACAGGTTATGAGACGCTTTTCGCTCCATGATGCTGCTAGACACGATGATATGCTTTTCGCTTAAACAAAGATGCAGGAACAGAATGGATCGTGGACGAGACTTGTTTAGGACGGTGGATTCATAAAACGGAGCGTTGACGTTACAATCCTGGTCGTAGGTCCAGTGTTTACTCCAGTTTCCCTTGGCGTGCTGGCTGGCACGACAACGGCTGAAAACGGTTGGAGGGGCGGGCGATAAGATAAGATTAGATAGGATAAGCGCTTTGGCGCGCGGGTGCTGCACGGGCCATGCCGAAGCTTTCACGCCAATCGAGAGAAGAAAAAAAGTTGGGTGGAGCTGAGTTTTTCCTCAGGCTTGAGTTTGTTCTGGCCTCAAGGACAAGGATGTAAGCCAATTGCTGGAGTGGTGTTACTTGAAGTGGTGCATCGTAAGGTTCAGACGGTCACGATTAGTTTGCGTCGCTACTCATGTTTCCTGCTGAGCTCAATCGGAAGATTCCTTATCGAGAAGCCTTTCTGTTCTGCGTCTGCAGTAAGCTGAGCTTCCAATTCACATGCAAGCCTGAAGCATGTTTGAAGCTAGGATGCGTGGCAGCAAAAAGAGTCATCAATGAACAAGGGGGTGTACGAGTGTAACTAACGCAGCCAATGGGCATAATGCTGATTTCCTGGGGGAGGTTGACTCACCCAAGAGTCATAAACGTATTTACGTGTTCATAATGCAGAAGCTTTCACCTTGATTTTAAATGTGCCGCTTTTTTTGTTGTTACGCTCATTGTCGTAACGAGTAATGCCGAGGCGGCCATTGGTAAAAAAAAATTATCTGAGAGGGGCGCCGTTTACTGGGCAATGGCGAAGTTGCGCCATGGGGAGATTTTGACTCTAGAGAATTGGTCTGGCGCTAAAGAGTTTTGATGACGGAGGTGCTTTTTGAGAAGAAGAGGGGAATGAGGGGCTGATTGAGTTGATGCTGGATAACAATGGGAACAGCTGCAAGGACTCGCAGATGGCATTGAGCTTTGAAAGACAGGACGTAAAGGCCAGTGTGTGTCAAGGTATTGCCCATTAGCAGGCATCTGGTGTTGAGCCTAAAAACCCAACCGCCAGAACGAAGCAAGCTTCTACTGTCGGTCAATTCTCTACCTAACCATCTGCAGAATTCGGTATCCAGGCACGAGACGGCGCGTAAGGCTCTTAGCTTGCCTCATCAGAAATTTCTTTCTCCATTCGACGTTTCTGCGTCGAGACTGCGGATACCGAGTAATTAGTCCTCGTCAACTCCGGTTGTCGCTTAAAAAGCTTTAGAAAAAAAGAAAAGTTCAGGGAAAACCCCACCAGTGTCCGTGGCAACATCATACAGTAGAAGCTTAGCAACTTCTTAGGACCGAGGTATCGGTATCCATTTCGCTGGCGTTATTTCTAGCATAAGCGAGAAAGACTGACGATGCTTCTCGTCTGATGCCGATGGGAATCCTCTTTTTCTCTCTTTTTTTCTGGGGCGGATTTTCTTTGAAACTGGACTTTTTGGGAGTTGGCATTGGCCACTGACATAACCGCCTGCGCTTTTGCCCCTGTCTGACTGTGGAGGTGCGGAGCTTTTTGGAAAAATGCTTGGCCTTCTGTTGGAGGGAGATGGAGGAGGGGTCCTTTGGATTTCTTGCTTGCGTATCCCGGCTCCAGCGTCTGTTCTGCCGTGCATGAAGCATGGGTCCAGTATCCTCCAGAGAATCTCTCATTGGAAATGAAACGATTGAGCTGTTCTCGTGACATGGCTGAGTTTGGGATATGGCATGTTGCAGAGTGATATGCAGCCACTGAATGTGCTGTAGGTACTGTAAAGCCACATCGCTTTCAACTGTCTGTCGTGTTCCCAAGATTGCATTGCTCCCATATCTAATATCAATTTCTTGCATCTCTCCCTACCTGGTCGAGTCCTACATTAGATTGAATGCTCCATGCTCCCTGTCGTGCTTCCATTCTGGGGCCTGACTGGTCCCTTGATTCTGACTCTGTTCGCCTCACGGACCAGGGAGCCTGGGGTAAATGTTTTGAAGTCAAGTCACTCATGATTCAACTTGGTCCCAGCTTTTTTTTGTTCTCAACTTTCGGTGACAGGCAAACAAGCCAAACATCTCAACTGCAGCACGCTCTATATAGCACACGTAGCATCAAAACAGCACAGAATCGGTCTCCTTGCAGTGTCTCACTCGACACATCAGCGCTTCTCACTTGTCATTGTACAATTGTCTTCCTATCGTTGGGCTTCGTCTGAGGCTGCAAAAAGCGGTGACGGTATTGTCCCTCCTAAAGTAGACTAGCGCATAGGTACCTTCCCTCCCGCACTGCACGCTCCATCGACTCCACTTGCAACTTCCGTAACTCAATCATCAATCACCCCCCGGCACTGCCTGCCTCGAGACACTTTGCCCAATCAGAATCGACCCCACTTGGAGGACGGAAAAAGTTTGGGATATTTCTCTCCCCCCTCGCTCCCTCTCTTCTTCCTCCATCACCAACCCCCAAACCCAAACCACAAAAGACAACGAAGTCGACATTTTCCAGCATCACCCAGAGAATTACCCCTACCAAGAACAAAGTCGAGTAACCATGCCTTCGGCCGTCGCTGAGCTGTAAACGCCCACTGCGGGCCGTGGCTGTCTTCCCTGTCCCGGCTCGCAGTCCAGCAGTTCTCCGAGTTAACCAGTCAATACTTCTCTCTCGACTTTGATCTTTACAGGCTTTCCCGCTCACGGAGCTGAATGCTCTACCGAGAGTCTGTCTCTGAAACCAACGATTCTGCAACTTGCCCGATAGTGAAGGGCTTTTGATACAGTTACTACCATTCTATTCTCCCGACCACCTCCCCTACCTTTCTCTTTCTATTAAAGACGATTAAAACAACTTGAAGTTGTTCAAAAGCGTATACACGCGTATATCTACTATAAAACAAGTCTTGCATTGCATTGCTAGAAAACAATCGATCTGAGCTTGCTCATTCACACCACTTTGAAGACAACTCGAACGATCATTACAACTAGAAAACTGAACATCTCGAAGCATTTCCAAAATGTCTCGCAATCTCAAGCAAAAGTTTACAACCCCGGTCAAAAAGACCAAGACCGCCCAGCGCCGCCGCAGGGTCTCCGACACTCCTTCTGCTTCTTCCCTAGACCTCTCCGACGATGGCGGCTACTCTGCCGTTGAAGATATTAGCGACTCTTCAGACGACGATGAGGATGATGTTGCTGCGGCCGAGGAGGAGAACATCCTAGAAGAAACTCATGTTCCCCCCACCCCACCACAAGCTCCTCGGCCGCAACCGACTATTGAGGAGGACGAAGAAGAGGAGGAGGAGGAAGTTGAGCAGGACGAGGATGAGCAAGAGGGCCTGGATATTGAGGATGATGACGCTGCTAGCTGGGGAGGCATCGTTACGGACGATGAGGACCAGCCTGACGTCTACCAAGACGCCAATATCTTTGGTGAGGAGCCTCTAGAGCGTCACGTTCACTTCGACGTGCCCTCCAGCGACTCTGACTCCACTGACACCGAGGATGAGATTCAGGGTTTCTTCCCTGATATCTTTGTCTCTCAAAACAACCTGGATCCTGCTTTCCGCCGTGAGATCGAGAACGATCCCAATGAGTCTTCTGACTCGGGATCTTTCTGGGACTTCAACAACCAATACGGCGAGCAAGATGATGACTCGGATGCCGAGGAAATCTTCCGGCAAATTGACGATGACACCCCTATTGCCACTCCAATGGCCTCCCAGCCAGCCACTGCTGCCTCTACCCCTCAGCCCATTCCCTTTGGCTTTGAGGAACCCACCGAGCTGGATGGCTACGAGAGTAAGTTTGGCTATACGGGCGTCATTACCTGTACTAACATGCCCAGCTGATGGTGATACCACCGAGGAAGATGAACCCGAACCCATTGTACGAAGGAAGATTCGACGCCCTTCAAAGCCCATGAGCGACATTTCCGACTCTGACGCCGACAGCCCGGTCAAGGCCGAGCGTGGCCAGCCCCGTCTGGGACGTTACAACCTTGACCGTTCCGACAAGAAGCCCATTGCTGTCCTCAACCCCGTCACAGGAAAAATGATGATCTTTACTCCTCACCGGCGCCACCAACTCGACCTCTCCCCCGAACAATTTAACTTTCCCTGGGGTACTGAGGGGCCCGAGTCACCTATCATGAGCAACTCTGCAAACCTAATGCTCAGCGCCATGTTCTCCTCCAACACTTTTGGTGACTTCTTCAATACGGCTCAGGTTATGGGACCCACTGAGGCTTTCTTTCCCTTCCCCTCTGAGCCCAATACCGCAGACGAAAGCTCAACCGCGCCTAGCTTGCAGGATGAGGAGGAGGAAGACGCTGAACTCAACTTGGACCTCAACGACTTTATCGCCTGGGAGGAAAATGACTCTTCTGGCGACGAAGAGGGTGACAACTGGGATCCCGCGTCAACGCCTGCGCGACCCAGCACAGCTACAAGCGAGAAGCAGGCTCTAAGTCACATCAACTCCGAGACTGTCGGAGCTTTCCGCCGTAACCAAATTAACCAGCAGCTCATCCTGAGCAACCAGGCTACCCAGGACTCACTCGCATTCAGCGGCCCCTACAACTACACCGCACTCAAGGGTCTCAAATCGGACCGCTTTGACACAGCTGCCATCCCCCTAACACCCGCTCGTCGCCACAAAAGACAGATGAGCGACGCCACACGCAGCCCCCTTGAGTCGATGTCTCAAAAACGCAAGGCCACCACCGAAGCTGGCAATGGCCACAAGAGGCACAGAAGCATCTCGGATGTGAACTATCTCCACATCTAGTGCAATGCACACCCACAAAAACGTACGAGGACGGCATAGCCTGCTGTCGCTATCCCTGGCCTCGACACTACTCTCTTTTCAACAATTTTTCCTTGATTGTTTTTCTCTGGGTTGAATGAAACCCTTGTTCACAGCGTGCTTGCTTGCTCGCGCGCCCCTCCCCCAAGGGACAGGGACGATGTTTTCTTTGGAGATGATACCCCAGCAGCTCCAGCCCGGTCGAAAAGCCGGGTGAGCGTATCGGAGGAATCAACGACTTGCCTTGTTGTACTTGTAATGGTCAATTCAGGTTGGTCGGGCAGGTAATTTGCTCTGTGAGCGAACCTGCATGGGACAAACAAAAAAAGTTCTAATGCCGCTAATGCTTTGATGTTCTTGATGTCGGATATGGGCAAAAAGTTATCAATTGTCTTTCGTTACTGGTGTTTTCGTCCATGGGTCTAGAGGTAGATAAAAGCCGTGACCAAAATTTCATTCAGTGTTGTCAATACTTTTTGTCAGAGTCTCGTCTGTGATGTGATGTGAATTGAAGCTGTCGTGCAAGACGGCCTCATTTTTTAGTGGGCCCACATTCGAGTCCTTCATTTTCATTGCTTGCGACGTCTCCTGTAGCTACGCGATGAGTACGACGTGATACAGTCCCTGCGAGATTTTCAACCTCTCAATTTCTGCCTGTTAATGCCCATCCTTCTTGACACGATGCATTTCTGAGGCGCAAACAATTCTCAGTCGCCCGGGGGCAGGGGACTTGTTCCTTGCGACAGGCGCAGTGCTATCAAGCGCCTTTGGCTTCTGGCTTCGACATTTGTTACACCCCAGAAGTTCCTTTCGCCATCAGTCTGACTCACAACTTTGTGCAAGATGAAAATAATAGTATGGCAAGCCTGCGTCAATCGACGATTACATGCCTATGCCACCAACGCGATGTAAGAGAACGTCGGACCTTGGTCTTGGCGACAAAAAGCTTAGGTAAATTAGCATAGGTTTAGTATACTTTTTGATGAGTTTATTTTGGCACCTTGTGTCAAGTTCTTACTCCGCTGCCAGCACCGTGAGGTCTTGAGTTTACTGATGTTGACTCATGGATGATCTATGACTTACCGGTGAGTCATTGTCCTTTCATAAATCGACACCCGCTCTCGAGGCGTCGCTAATGGACTACGGACCATCTGCTCCAAGACGTTGCCTGAAGGTGGCTTATGTTGAGCCGCTTTCAAGGTCGATACTGTATCTCTTCAATTCCAGCGCGGATACTTTCTTGCAAGAGCAGTCGGCAGGAAGGGAGCTATCGAAAGCTCACCCATTGCAAACGCCACTCAGCGATGCCTCATTGACTCTGGTGTTGGTGAAGCTGCCCTTCCTACAGCAAAGTGACCCATGACGATCTCAACGACTGCTATTCATGTATTGAATAAATGAACGGTGCCAATTTGGAGAATGTCTGATAGTAATTGCGGTGATTTTGAGAGGCGCGAGTCAACCGCCTACCACCCATCATGGCGTAAAGTGAATCCCGGTGTACCTTTTAAGTTCCCTCATTAAGATGTATTCCGATGGCGTCAATGTACCCAAGCCGGCCACATTATTCCTCACGACGCCACGCTCAGTGCGTTTCCAGCTCACTTGTTTGAGAATATTTCCCTGGCTTTGGTAGTCATGTTCAATTAAAGAATTACAGACTTGCTGCCTGCTCAGGCATTCAGGCTTGAGAGGTCCATTGTAGAGTACGGCCCCGAATGGCTCAGCCTTACCGGGCAGTTGTGGGTCCACTCTCGGCCGACGTAGATACGTACCGCCGACCACACAGCGACGACACTCAAGAGGGGAATAAAGCGCGAACTAACGGAATGCTGCGTGAGATGAAGTGAATATGTAAAGGGGAGTCATAGTTATTGTTTGGCGGATCAACGTTGTACAGGCTTTGGCAGTTTGACGTGGCAGCCTGAGCGCAGCTTGGGCGTCCGAATCTTGCCTCAACACCAGACGTTGATATCGACAAAACATCATGGTTATAGTTCCAATTAGCATCTAAAAGGACAGAAAATAAAAGTGGGGCGTTGGCGCAATGGTAGCGCGTTGCTTTCCGGTGGCAAAGGCTCCAGGTTCGAGTCCTGGGCGTCTCGAGATAATTCCTTTTTGGTGTGGTGATGTCTTGAGGCTATCACGACCTCGGGAAGGCGGAAGAGCACCTCAGCCTGATGTACTGAAACGCCACCTTTTCTTTTTGATAGATAATTAGGACAGTAAAGCAAGAGCATTCTCTTTTGCTAAAAGGTTTAATGGTTTCGGTTGAGCTGCCATCGAATGTGGAGATGCAAGTGAGACAGATCCATGTGGGGAAGATCGCCGTGGTGTTGACGCCCCAAACTACTTATGGACATGCAGGTACGGATACACCCATCGATAGACATGCACGATGTTACTTAATTATCATCTATCAGTTTAAACTGAAGAACCGTATGTAATATGAGTAATTGAATGGCCTCAAACCTATGCGAGCAAGGGTGAATGTGATACGGAACAGGTTTGAGGCGCCACCACTTACACTCGCCAACCACGCCTTCATCTGACTCCACATTGAGCTGTGGCTTACATCTTCACGAAGAGACTGCCCAACTTGTAGAAGTTTAGGACGCCCAACCTAAGATTGGACTAAAGTCGTCAAACGAGCACACCGAAGGAGACCAACAGAGTAAGACTTTTACATATTTATTCCTCAATCGCTCATGTGCCTATGTGCTACACCAGTCTTGTAATCTATATGGGTATCAATCACCATCCCAGCACTCAATCCCTTATTATTCCTCTCAAGCATACTCCTCAAGACCATACTCCGCATCCATCTCCGGATCATCCTCATCATACCCCCCTCCAAACTCATCACCACCACCACCAAACTCCTCACCATCGCCATAGTTCTGCGTCTCATCATACTCTTCCTCCTCAAACTCTTCTTCCTCCTGCGGCGCTTCAGGTTCATCCCCAACAACGCTCTCATCAGGAAGTTCACTCGCGTCATCGCCGCCTTTTGTACTTCCTGCGACACTGGTCTTGCGGCTTGTTGCTTCTGAGCCGGGACCTCCGAGGTTGGGCATGTCGAAGATGTTGCGGATGGCGTCGTAGTTGATCCTCTTGGACCACGCGCGATCTTTGGCGACGTTGACCGCTGCCTCAGCGGCTGAGCTGGCAGGACTCGTCTGACCTTCACCCATTCTAGCTCGCTTACGTCGCTTTCGTGTTTGCTTCGGTCGTTCTGCCTCGACTTTCTTGCGAAACACCTTCTCTTGGTGCTTTCGTAGCCATTCCTTGTTCTGGTTCACCCAGATCATCTCCTTGATCTGAGCCTCCTCGGGTGACAACAAACAATTGTTCACCTCAGGGTCGTCGGCAAACTCATCCTCTGTGACATCCGCCGACATGGAAACTTCTTTCTGGGGTCGCTGCTGTAGAGCCCAGACGGTGTGAATGCGCGCTCGTTGCTCAGCAGTTGTGTAGGCCATGGCGTGCTCGTATGTTAAAGGATCATTGAAGATCTCCTCAATCACGCCCTCTAGTTCTTGCTCATCCTGCTCCCATTCCTCATTGATGGGTAATTGTGGTTTACTGCCTTTCCGCTGGTTTGTCTCTTGTGTCCCGTTCTCCGCAAGCTCCTCGTCCATCGCGTCTCCAAACTCTTGCACTAGGCCATCCAGTGTCTGTACATTCGTGTCTTCGCCCTCAGCCTCTTCATCCTCTGCGTTCTCATTCAGCCTATTAATGAGTGATGGGTCTTTGGCAATCTTGGATGGTATAGGCGGGATAATAAAGCCATCATCATCACGGCGATATTCGACAACAGGCGCCTTAGACAGATCAGCGCCTCCCTCTATTAACCGCGGATCAATCTTGTCGGCCAGGTTGTCATCTTCCTCCTCATCTTCGTCACCATCAGCGTCTGTCGGTCTCTTTCGCTTCTTGTTCTTCGCCGCCAATTGCTTCTTGTACTCGGCCGACTGCCTGTAAAAAGAAGGTGGGTCGTGAGAGCTCTCCAGGAAATCCTGCTTCAAGAAATCCTCAACCGACATACGACTGGACTCGGTGACCTTGAACTCTTGCAGACGGTTCTGAATCGTGTGATTGGTGACTTTGACAATGTAGACGACCTCTCGCACAGTTCGTCGAAAGTTGTGCATTCGTGCCGCCATGAGCAGACAAGCTCCACAGATGCCTGATGGTCGACGACCCATGACCATCCAATCTCGACTCATTCGCTTGACCAGACGGACAGCATCCTCAGCGACTTTGGCCGTGTCTTGGTGAAACTCCATCTTTGTCGCAAATCGCCAGATAAGATCCTCCGGATACACTGGGATGAGGCCGTCGTTACCAATTGGCACCACCTCATTGAGCTTCTTGAAGATACGACCCAGCTTGAAGACATTGAGCTGCACCAAGTCCGCCAGGTCAATAAGCATAACCTTGCACGGTGGCTCAGCTCGACAGGCTGCGTACAGGCAGACAGCCGCGACGCTGGCCAATGTACGACCTTGAATAAAGTTTGCGCTCGACGCCAGCTTAAAAACTTGTGTTCCTGCAGTGACCAGACTGTCGCTGACGTTAAGCTGCTGCGCGTAACCCTGCATCAAGCCTTTTGCTTCCCTTATGCTCTTCTCTCGATCCTCAGATCCTCCAACTCTTCGAAAAGCAGGACCCATGCTTCGCACACCCGCCTGATCAGCACCAATGTAAGAACCATGAACAACAGCAGCACCCGAAGACGACTCTCCAAAGGTGACTTCTGCCACAATGTTACTGTCGTCAGAGATACGACCACAAGTCTGACATGTCCCATCGACGACATTGGGTTTTGGACAGGCTTTGTTCGGACATTGTGGACGATTCGGTTTCGCTAATGAAGCATTTCGATTTACAGCAGCGACTCGTAGGCTATTTGAATGGGCGGCTGCATTCGCGGCTCGTCGTTCTTCTCGTTCTCGCATCGCTCGGACGGGGTTGGGTTTTCCGAACCGTGGTTTCGCAGCCGGACGCCCAGTAGGCCCCGATCTTGGTGGTGTAAGAAACGACGACATTGTGAAAGATATCGTATTAATTTAGTTGAAATGAATTGAAAGTCGTTTCGCTATTGATCTTCCTTCTCTCCCCCAGACCGACAAACGGCCAGATCACTGAGGCTATAAGCACTCCAGTGCCGCGGTGTCGAAAGAGCCTATATGCGATAGCTCTTACAAAAAAAAAAGATTATCGCGATAAGGGAAAAGTAGAGGGATGGATGAGGTGAGAGATACTGGTGAAGAGAAATCGCGAGTCTCGGTGCAGGCGGGGTTTTTTGGGTGGGAGAAATGAGTGTCGATGGTCGAGTGGGGAAGAGTTTTCACTCGCGTGGGCAAGCCCCTGCAATTCGACTGAGTCAGAGGGCCAAGGCAGTGACGGTTCGAACACCAGTGAGTGATGTTTTTGGAATAGCCTTGAGACCGCGCAGATGATAGCGAGCAGAATCTCTGATGGGTATTGTAGATCTAGAGTCGTCAATCTTTGTTGATGGTCCTTTTTCTGATGAGGAGAAGTGAAGAGGAGATTTGCTGTTGCAGGTCATTTTGTGCGAGCAATCTTGTTGAAGCGGTTGGTGACGAGAGAGCCGAGGTTTATCCACAAACTCAAAGTCAGCTGGGTGTACAGGGTAGACGCAGAGCAATTCATCGAGTTTAACTCTACGATTGAGTATCATATTTAAGATCTGTTGCATCGCTATTGGGCGGTATTCATTATACGACGTTAATGTTTTCATCTGTATTTTACACTCTCAGTTCATCAGACCATAAATACCCCCTTCCAAATAAAGTATCTCGGCACTCAGCTCATCTCCACCCATCATCACTTTATCCGCATCAAGCTCACGCCCTACGTACAATACCCTGTCAACTCAGAACCTTTCCAGAATTAACCGTAAAAGTGACAACCGGTTATTCGTATTTACCTCCATTCTACCAACGAGACCCTCACATCAAAGGCGGAGTTTCCGCTGCGTGTTTGCTCAACTTAACCCGATTACGTCAGGTCTGCCCCGCGATTTCTGGCCAAAGGCATCGTGCAGAAGATCTATAAATACATCGACGTGTCCCTTGGAGAATACCTTCGTTAATACCTAGATTTTCTACATATTTTTGTTCAAAGTATATTTAGCTACAATGGATACTCCCTTCAAGTGGTCGGCACCGCCTGGTAGTGATATCTGGAAACAGCCTCCTTCTACCGACGTCTTCACTGGTGAGCATCTCAACCCCTCCCTCCCAATCGCGCCCTCTCAATCACCCATCACCACTAGCCTCACTCACTAACCTCCCCCCAGCACCCTTCACCACACACTCCAAAAAGCCCCTCAAGAAGTTCATCTCCGCAACTCTCACCTTCCGCACGAAATACATCCATCAGTACGACCAGGCCTGTCTTCTCCTAGTCTTCACAAACCCCAACTCCCCCACGCCCCGCAAGTGGATCAAGACCGGCATTGAGCTATACAACGATCACCCGCGCTACTCAACCGTGACTTGCGATCAGTGGGCAGATTGGAGCGTTGAGAAGGTCGGACCGGAAAATGAAGCTGGCGTGAGGAATGGTGACAAGTGCGTTACTGTAAAGGTGCAGAAGGTGCAGGATGCGCTGGGTCTTTGCATGTGGACGTACAGGGTTGATGAGGATGGTGACAAGACGCCGTTGAGGCAGACGAATTGGGTTTATGGCGATAACGGTGGCGAGGGTTGGGATCTAGAGATCGCTGCTGCTGTCGCGAGACCCGATCCTAAGAAGGAGATCAAGGAGGATCTTGAGGTTACGTTTGAGAAGTTTGAGGTTGAGTGGGATGAAACCGCCTAATTACTCAAACCTCATTTTTGAAGCATTACATCACAGACATCACATGCAAAGGAACATCAATTGAGGTGGCCGAATTTCTCATTACCTCTACCCTGACGGTGCTTGCGCCAGGGAGGATCGTTCAACGATCCCAAGTTGTTAATAATCATCAAGATCGTAACTTCATTCTCATCGGCGTCTCGCCGGTCCCAAATAAGCCCATGCAGAAAAGGATCTCCATTTCCCATCTCCTCCAGCGAACAAAACAGGAAAAAGCAGTAACAAAAGGACAGGTTCGAGGTATCAGTCTGTAGATGCGAACCAAAAGCAAAAGAGGGCCCGACCCGGTACTAAAGAGGCGAGGCACACACGCAGTGTGTGAGGGTTAAGATGTTATTAAAGCCTCTCGTTCTCAAGGTCGCCCCCTGTTGTGCAAAATCCGAGTAGGAGATGTTTGTATCCGTTTCGCGTTCTAAAGAGAAAAAACTCCTGCCATAAAACGTGAAAGCAAAAAGACAGCAACAAAACCAGAAGAGATCCTTTTTTTTTCGGTGAAAAATTTCCAAGATGGTACAAATGCAAGCTTTTAGCCAATCTCGGGGCATTTGCTCGCGGGTGTAGAAAAGCAGTCAAGCATTCCACTTCCCAAAATGTTCCCCCAAACTCTGGTGTTGAACCAAAGACAACCCGGTCTTTTTTTTTTTGGTGGATAACAAAACGCCAGAGTAGAATTGGGGAAGAAATGTCCCAGTGTCCGTGTGTAAGTGGGTATCAAAGCAGAGTTGAAATGACAAGGCAGAAACAGAAACTCGCGGTAAGTAAACTCACAATAAATGAGCAGAGGATGTGAAGGACGCCGTGTGTGCGTCTGATTAGATCCTCTCAGCCCGTGTATCATCAAAATTCGGTCGGCCAACCTCGCAGAAGGGGAGTAATGTAATAAAACAAAGCTCCTTAGGACTTCAATCTGATGACGGAGCATGAAAAGCAACCAAACGCCGACTTCCAACTGTTCCTGTAAGCATCACTTTTTTTTGTAGGTTTTTCTTTTTTCGCGGATTTGGCGGTATTCCATCTCGCGCTTGTCCTCCAGCTATGATCAAACACACGGAGCATCCGGAGGCCTGAGTAGTGTGTGTTTGGGTTATCTCGAATCACTCAGACAGTCTTTGGCGTGCGAGCATTGCTCACGTCAATGACGTCGTCGAGGTGATTGCACATGGCTACAAACAGGTCGAAGAAGAGCTTGCTGCCGCCCGCCTCCATCTCGGCCTGCATGGTCCCGCTGCGCTTAAAGGTCTTGCGGCAGCGGATGATCAGGGCGAGGTAATGAGCGCGCAGACGGCTGTCTGAGTCGGGTGTGTGAGCGTAGGCGTACTGAGCTGACCTTATAATGGTCCCGACATCGATGCCGGATTGCAGTCCCTGCTTGCGCAGGGCCAGACGCTTGAGCTCCTCGAGGCCGTACTTGTCCGCGGCGCAGTAGACGACCGTGTCGCGGAGGATGGCCATATCGAGACTCGACAGGTAGATGGTGGCTTCAGACGCAGCGCCTGGGCGGCCACCTCCAGTTTCGGGGTTGGGTGATGTGTGAGGTGTACGGCCTTGGTCCTCGAGCTCCCAAGAGTTGCGCTGCTTGTTGTGGAGCAGACGTGGGTAGTAGTCACCCTTGTAGAGATATTCGAGGACGGCGGAGAACACCTCGGGTTCTTCGTCGGGGATGGAGATCCTCTTGCTCTGTGCCTCGAAGCAACTTCCGCGCAGGGCGGCCTCAAAGAAAGGCGACTGGCGGAGTACATCCTCATGTGCTGCAAAGAGCCGGCCATCTTGACCAACAGTCAGAGTGACGATGGGCGAAGGTGCAGGCGCGGCGGGTGCTGGAGCAGGCTTCTGGGGAATAGCGTCCTGCTCGTTGAGCGATCTTTGCAGCTTCGACATTTTCGTGTGATCCCGGTGGGAGCCCGATCTCTTGAGTCTCGCAGTCTTGTCGACGCGGTTGGGGTCTTGCGACCTAAACGAGCGTTTGAACATGGCTACGGTAGTTATGGGAGGAAATCGGTAGATAAAGAACGGACTCGTAACGGGAATCTCGACTCGCACAGGATATGGTAGGGAGAATAACGACTCCCAACTTTGTGTATCGATCGATCGGCTTGGCTAGAGAGTGACGAAAAGAGCGAAGAGACAGAGAGTAAAAGGGAAGAAGAAAAGAGCGACGCACAACAGAAAAGATTGACAAATGGGCCCGGGCGGAGAGATATGTCCTTCAAGACAAGACGATATCCTCTTGGTGAATCTTTGCGACCCTTTTTTTGGTTGTGTGTGGGGGGGGAGGAAGAGGGAAGAAAGTCGGGGGTATGGGGGGATAAGCCTGTATGTATGCCGATGGTGTCTGTCTCACG